GCTTGGCTTCCTTTGAATTTTCTTTGCAGCCAAGCAGCAAAAGAGAAGGTTCACCAAAAGAACACCCTTTTAACTGGCAAAATGATCAGAACCTATCGATCATTCGCCTGGCCACTTCTTCTAGCCAACACTGAGTGTACTGCTTGTGGCGTCTGCGCTCCTTCCCTTTTAGCAGCAGGTCACTCCCTTTTTGGGATTGTGAGGCTGAGGCTTGTTGTGTGGGTGTTGGTCAGGGCCAGCTTGCCAGCTTTCATGCTCCAAGCCCATCATTTTAGCTGTTCGTTGCTTTCACCACAAGCAATTTTGGATGTGACGCATCAAACGCCAAAGTGACTCTCCGAATGGCTCCGGTAAGCCCCAAAGCTGGAAGCTGGATTTGTTAAGGCTTCGGTTTTGCAAACAAACGAAAAGGCGTGCGAACCCACCCCGAGAGCCCAAAGAGTCCCTGGCAAAGGGAAACTACAGGAAACTCAACCAATCTTGCTACCCTTGAGGTGTTGATTGCGCTGGCAAACATTTTCGCGGGCCGGACACTAAACCATTGCTTAAGGGCGCCTGAGGTTTGGTCGTTCTTGAAAAAGAGTGTGTCTTAAAATAGGGGACCCGAAAACATGTAGCTTTGCTTTCAAGTGTCCCAAGAATACAACCCAGGAAACCCTTCTGTTTGGTAAGTTCTGCGAAACCAAAAGGGCAACCCCTCGCCATTTTTGCGGAGGGTCCCCAAATTTTGGCGCCAAACCCAAGGCTCAGAGCCGGTCTCCCGCCTCTTGCCGCCTCGCTTGGCGCGGGGCCGGTCCTCCGGCGGCGGCAGCGTCTTCTTCTGCTTCGCCGGCGGCGGCCTCGAACGGTTCGATGGATTCGCTCGCGGCAGGCGTCTGGTCCCTTTGAGACATCCTGAGACTTGGCCTCTCAACATGGAACCTGACAGGGATTCTTGAAGATTGTCCTTTTAAAAGGATCGAGTTTTTGTCGGTGTTAACTTAAAATGGCGAAGAAAGTGATGTTTGGATCACAGAAGGGAAAAACCTGGACCTCTCAGAGACTTGGGCCCTGGAAAGTGGGGAAAGCGGTGCCAAATCTGTGTTGGGACCCGTCCAAGTTACTTTCGGAGAAGCGGTCCCCAAACGGTTCTTGTGTTGCCAGTTTTTGAAGTTTTGGGTTTGTTTGTGTGTTTGGCATGATTTGAAACTACGTGTGGACTGTGTGAGGCGTGGGCAAAGGGGGATGCCACAGCTCCATCCCACAGCAACCCAAGGCAAGGTCTGTACTTCGCCAGATATACAGACGGAACCTGGAGGAAAAATGGTTAACAGTATGCGGATCCACACAGGATGTACTCTACTCAAGGTTGCTTTGCTACATTTGGGCAGAAGCATCGACGAAAAAGCATCGATGATGCAAGGACCACAGTTGAAAGCACCAGGTTTGCCATTGGGCATGAGATCGCACCACCCCTGGAGTTCTCTGAGGAACAGCTATCCAACACGACTAGACACCTGAGAGGATCGGTACACGGAAAGGTGCCCACAGGCTTGACATACCACGGGCATGAGCTTTAATCATGGGGATTCATGTCCTACCAGCTTCCCAATTGCACATGCAACACATCCGGTCCCTTGCTTCTGTTCAGGATGTGCAGAGACCTTGGTTTTGCATTTGCGATACTACACTGTATCACCGCTTTGTTATCCTGGTGTTTCCACTTGCGTGTTCTCTTTTCTGGGTTCACCTACAACTAAAAACGACCAAACACCTGCTCGCCTTGACTGATGGGATCTAACCAAACACTTGGAGATGGTTCATCTCATTTTGCTGAAACATGGGAACTCTGGTAAATTAGGGACCCTCTGAAAAAAATCACTTGGGGATTCGGTTTCCTTTTGGATTTTTGTTGGATTCCCGGAAAAACCGAAAGGGTGAACAAAGCGTGTTGGCTGAAAGCCATTTGTGAGTCGAGTGCCCCCAATCTTCCTCTCGCTTTCCTTCCGCCCCAAAAAGGATACCGAATTCAACGCCAAACCCGCCTGGTTGCTTCTGAAACGGGCGCCTAACTTTTGGCTCATTTCGGCCAAGAAAGGCAAGTCCACAAAAGGAAGAGACAAACCACGCATCTCCGAAACGCCTAAACAACCAAACTCAACAGTGGGCCACCCCTCAGCTTCACCACATGCGGTTCATCCCCATCGCCCCAAAGAAAACGAGAAAAAGGCCCACCAAAGGCCTCCAAAAACCCACCAGAGCGACAGAAAATGTGGGGCGCCGGGCTCCTGGGCCTTGGCCAGGGACTGGAGGATCTTCTCTCGCAGCTGCGTACCTCGCAGGTTTTTGGCCCTTGAAACGAACTCGGAAGAGGTGGAAACGCCAGGGTTCCCTGGGCAAACAACGTGCAGTTGTGTGAAATCCCGCCTTTTGATGATGCAGGAGGTTGAAACTGTTTGATGAACATCATTCACAAGGAGATCCCAGTCATATGGCCGAATTTTCATAGGGGAACACCCTCCAAAATGGTTGGCAGACGTACATGTGATTGGGGGTGTTTAGGCACGCACTTCTCAAAAGGTCTGGGTGACCATCAATTCATTGAGTGACGAGCCAGGCTATGGAGTTGCAAAGCCAAGAAACAACACAAGGCCCATTCACTGGGCAGCAATGTGCCTGTGCTTTGATCCTGTCATTCAGCATGCAGTGCGTTCGACATAGCTAAGTCGGGCAGGATTCAAGCCCTGAGACCCTGCAGGAGCCATTCTGTTTGCTGTTTGGGCAACCCGTGTTCGCGTGGCAAGGTTCGAACCTCGGGCGGTAGGATAAGATTGCTTCAGCATAAGGCTACCTCCAGCTTGCTCAAC